TTGCACCCCTCGTTATCCTTGTCTCTTCAAAGTGTAGAAATAGGCTCTAAAATTACCAAGGACATCAAACCTCCATCCTTCTTTCCTGCCAAGCAACAGCTCTGTGCTTGCTCTTTTCTTCATGTACCCTGGATGTCCCAAGAAGAAACTGTGGAGGCTGGAGGTGGTGTGCAGGAATCTTCCATTTTGTGTTCTTATCCCTTACTGATGAGAAAATGATCCTGCAAGGTGCAAAGTGTTTTTTTCAGAAGAGAATGTATCCAGGTGCTGTGATTTCTTCCATCTCTTCTGAGTTGTTGTAGCAGGTGGGATTGGATGTCCCACTGATTTTGCTGATTAACCAGAGTCTGAATCAATAGTCTAATGTGAAAACACTCATGATGGGCTGTGGGACCTGCCATGAAGCTCCCTGGAGAGGATGTGAGTTTTGAGGTACCAGATGTGTAGCAGAAGCTGGCTGGAGGGGCTTTCCACAGTGGAAATGCTTTCAAGAAAATCAGTCAAGGGTTTGATTTAGGGCTGTTGTGATAAATGGGAGCACAGACAGAAGCAATAAACACTGCTTGACTTTTCCCTGCTTCACAATCAGGAAAGATCTAGGAATAAAAAGATCAAATATATGCCTGCACCTGGCAGCAGCTTTTTCTACCAGAAATGAGATGGTTCATTGAGACAGACCTGCTCAAATGAGACTCTTAAAAACTTCATCTTGTCATCACTGGGCCTGCTGTCCCCTTTCTGCTGCTGTATCCTGCTCTCCCTTGTCCTTCAGGAACATCCTTCATCTCTTCCCTGCTATGCTGATGCCTCACCTGCCACCTGGGGCAACTCTCCCTGGTCACCCCGTACCTGGTAGCTCTCCAACCTGCTCTCTTCTGTGCCCATGTAGGTGTTTGCTGGTGAGCAGAGCAGGCATCAGGAGAAAAGCTCACACTGTGAGTTCAGCCATCTGTCCAGGAGGCACAGGCTCAGTTTCTGGGCCAAGTGGTACGTATGGCATCTCTGCTTCTGGCAGCTCCAAGCGGTTGTCCAGCGGGTTGCGTGCTGTTCAGCGTCTCCTGTCCATTAGGTTAGTCTGATGTCTCTCTCATTCACAGCCAGTGGTGTATCAATTTTTCCCAAGTAACAGGCCTGTTGAAAAGAAAGGTCTTTGGTCCTTGTCAGCTAGAGGAGTTTTGGTTAAATACTTCTGGCTCACTAATATGACTTCCTTTGTGGTCCAGGGAGCATAATGCAAGGCTGGTGATGCAGGGGGAGTAGAATGGTTCCATTATGCAAATGGCATGGATTTGAGTGAATTAGTAGCTTTTTGAGGGCATTTCCAGGAACTATGAGTGGCCTCTTTTCAGAATGTTCCTGTTAATGTGCTGAGGTCAGTAGAAGTAATGTCAATAAAGGTTTGTTTTGTTTTTTTTAAAAAAGTCAATAAAAGGCCTAATTTTGAAGCTTCTTCCTTCCTTTTCCCATCCCCTCTGGCATCATTTGTTTATAAAGGTCATGCATAAGGATTATGCTTGGTTACTCCCAACTGAATGGGATATGGATATGTGCTTGGTTTGGAAGTTTGTTAGAAGCAGAAGGAATAAGGAAGAGAGGTTTTCTTGGCTGTGAGTTGATGTGTGATTTTGTTGGGGTACCTTGTGTCTCCTGCCAGGTCTGTGCTCTTTTCCACTTATTTTGGGAAACCAGAGAGCTCAGGGCATTTCTTGGTTTTACCAAGTTGATTTCTTCTTCCCCATAACCCTCCAGCTAACTGGAGTCACCAATTGCAAACTGAGCAAAGGTAAAGTAAACTCTGTCTCAAGGCAGTGCCATACTGTGGTACAGCCTGGTGCAGAGACAGGGCTGGTGGGGTGTGCACAGGGTATGTGGGCTGCTGGAATCAAATGCTTCTGGTGATGTATCCCCTCTGCTTTGGTGGGCTCATGCCATGTTATGACAGTCAAGTCAATACAAGTTTCTTCTTTCTTAAATAGCTTTCTCTGAGCTCACTGGCTTACAGGTTGGTTATTGGTCTGTATTTTCTTACCGAAGAACCACAGTGAGGTCAGCCCTGCCATTTATATAGTGCTGGTGCCAGAATTATTTCCTTTCTACAGTCTTAATAAAATCAAGTGACTTAGATTTGCTATTTAGTAGTATCTGCATTTGAGTATAGGAGCATGAGGAAAACAAGTTAACAGGAAACAAAATTGCCATGTTGCTTTATACTACCAATAATACAAGATATGCAAAGAATAAATACCCTGTTGCTTGCTAGTGCTGGAGTGTGCTCATTATACCTTAAGTAAAGGTTAATCCATTTCAAGCCTGGGTTAATGCTACGCTATCCTGACACTCCAAAATGATCTGAAGGCGGGTTTTTACTCTAATAGGTCATTTCTTGAAATAACTTAATCACAGATGCCAGCAGGTGATCAGCAGTTGCACTGCTTGATTTCGATATGTCAACATGCTGTAGGCTTTGCTCTCAGATACCTGCTTTATATGTATCTTTTCCCACCTATCAAGGATTCTCTCAATAAAAAGAACAGAGCCAACTTCTCCAACTTTTCCAGAAGTGCCCAGTATGCATTACATATTTGTATGAACAATAAGCCTCTTAATCTTTAGCAAAGATTATTAACAGTTGCCAGCTCTCATCTTTATTAGAAAACTAAAGAGGGTAAAAAGATTGATGTCAATATTCCTATTTTTTAATCATAAAGCAGCTGTAATGCTATTAAAACCTCATTGTGGATGTATATAGAGATACATTTTTATTCAGAACTGGCGTCTTGCATACTCCAAAATACACAGCTAAAATAATATCTGGATAATGCTATAAAAGCCTTTTTTATTTGTGAAACAGCAGCTGCTTGTCTGGCAACAACTACCTTATTGTAACACCAAATCCAATTATCAATCCACAAGATGAAATGCTGTCTTCACACAGGGCAGCAGGCAAATCCAAAACAAAAAACCCAGAGCAGAGTTAAGCAATCTTTCTGTCTGATGTGGATATGCAAGTGTTCCTCTGTATGAAACTTTTAATTGGTTCACCTTAAAAGGTATTAGTATCTGCTTGAAGATGATAAACCTTATTTGGAATTTGTCTTCCTCAAAATCCCCATGTGAAATAGAAGGATTACGTAAATACTCAAAAGGAAGTGTATTTGCATCTGTGTAATTTTCCAAAACCAATCCCAAAACAACCTGAACAAATGAGTATGGGTCTGAGATGCTGCTATTTGTGGCTCCCCTCCCTGAGGCTCTTGGAAAGTGTCTCAACCCATTGCCAGGTAGGGCATGAGTCTTAGGACAAACTGTGATTTAATTTTTTTAATATAGATCTCATGTGGCTTCTCTAGAACAGCTGCAAGGAACTCAGAACTGGCCTGAGCTATCTTTGCCCAGTAAAATCATTGTTGTAGCACATCCATGTTCTTTGGATTGAAGATGAAAAGTTAGGAGAGCAGTGTTTTTTCTTTCTTCTTTCTTCCTGTTTTTTCAAGTGTTCAGTGACCATGTGCTCTGTCCTATAAGTACTTTATCTACATGGGTAATGTATTTATAGCTGCAATAAGAAGATTCCCCCTCCCCAGTTTGGGAATCCAAACAGGGAGCTCTGTAACAAACAGCCACTCCTGAAAATGCTCATTTCATTTGGTGGGGTGGCACAGAGGTGTTTGGAAAGGAAACAAATGGCAAGACTGGTTGCCTAATAGCCCTGTGGTGGGGAAGGGTTTTCTATTCTTGGTGGGTGGTTGTTGCTCTAAAAACCCAACCAAACAAAAACAGCAACAGAATTTTTCCATTTAAAATACAGCAGTTCTATTGTTTCATTTTCATGCAATGATTTCTAGAATCTCCCCAACTGTCCACACGCAAATTTTGCTGAGTGGCTTTAAAATTCAGATACCTGTTGACTGGCTTTCTAGCCTTGAAATAGCTTCTCCTCTGGATGGTGTTAGGATTTTTGTCCGTTTACTTTTTTATCTTGTCCTTTTGGTAGCATCTAGTGTTTCTGGAGTCTGAAACTATCATAGACTTGTGACAGGTCCAGTTGTGGGAGGTGCCTGGTTTTCCTCTTACTTCCACCTTTTCCTTTCCATGCTCCATTACCACCTCTTCCCTCCTCCAGGCTGGGCTGCAGTCTGCCAGGGGTATGTTTTCCTCATTTGTGGACAAGCATGGCTGGGTGAGCTGCCTGTAGCCTGCATAATTCTTTGCTATGATTCACCCTGTGTTTTGCCAACATGTTTTTTTGGTTAGTTTGTTGGGTTTTGTTTTGTTTTGTTTTAGCAGGAGGACCTACTGCCCACTCTCTGTCTTGGGATAATTTTATAATGCAGGGTTTTAATGGAATTTTTTAATATCTAAAGAGCAGTGCCTTTCCTGTGCGTTCGGTAGTGTCTGAAGAATTTGGAGCTGGAGAGTGGGAAAGAGGGCTATAAATACATTTATATATATAAAACTTTTTTGTTATTTTTTTCAAATGAGTAATGATTTGACATGCTCTGTTTCAGTACATGTTACCATGGCGATGACTGCAGGGACTACAACATCCTTTCCCATGAGTAACCACACCCGGGAGAGAGTGACAGTGGCCAAGCTTACGCTGGAGAACTTCTACAGCAACCTAATCATACAGCACGAAGAGAGAGAAACCAGGTACTGGGTCTGCTTCCTCTCACCCCTCTTCAGCTTTTCTTAGTTGGCTTTTGGTGGCTTTTTTCCAAATTCAGTGGAATCAGTGCCTAATTCTGCCTCCAATGTGGTGAATTACTACTTGAATTAAGTGTCAAAGTACCAAGCATTAATTTTATAATGCAGGGTTTTAATGGAATTTTTTAATATCTAAAGAGCAGTGCCTTTCCTGTGCGTTCGGTAGTGTCTGAAGAATTTGGAGCTGGAGAGTGGGAAAGAGGGCTATAAATACATTTATATATATAAAACTTTTTTGTTATTTTTTTCAAATGAGTAATGATTTGACATGCTCTGTTTCAGTACATGTTACCATGGCGATGACTGCAGGGACTACAACATCCTTTCCCATGAGTAACCACACCCGGGAGAGAGTGACAGTGGCCAAGCTTACGCTGGAGAACTTCTACAGCAACCTAATCATACAGCACGAAGAGAGAGAAACCAGGTACTGGGTCTGCTTCCTCTCACCCCTCTTCAGCTTTTCTTAGTTGGCTTTTTTCCAAATTCTCTCATCAGTGCCTAATTCTGCCTCCAATGTGGTGAATTGCTACTTGAATTAAGTGTCAAAGTACCAAGCATTTGATTATAATGAATGTTGTGTTTCAAATTGTCATCAGCATGTGAAATTATCATTCCCCTAGTAATCTGTTTTTAATTGAGAGGTTTTCAGCTGAGCAGCAGGGTTTCTCTTGTCACCATATTGAGTCATTATTCCATGTAATTGAGTTGCTTGTAGTTAGGAGAATAGACTGTCTACCAAGGGCCTTTAATTTAGGGGATCCTGCTCTACTTCCCAAAGTGCAGAAAGACTCCAGCAGCCTGGCACCCAGCATTCAGTCTCTTGGCTGCTGCTAGTGGGTAACCAGGTTTCTGAAAACTGTACCCTGAGAGTCAAAAAAACATCCTGTGTGTGGAAAAAGAGGGGTCTAATAGACATGCTGCCATGTACTGACTCCCTGCCACCTGTGGGGTAATCCCAGGCTTCACTCCTTACTCATACCTTCCCAGTCTGGCATGGCACCAGCTGGAGGACCCCTGACCCTAGTGAGCCATGGCCCAGGCAGGACACTAGGAGGAGATGATGATGAATCCAAGGGGGTAGTTAGTTGGAATGAGGACAAGGGGAGCAGGACCACCTATGTGACCAAGGAGAGGTCAGCAAGGCTGAGACAGGATGAAAGCTGGAGCTGGTTGAGGTGCTGGAGGTAAAGCTGAGACAGAAGTGGTAGAAAAAAACCCATGCTTACTCTGATTCATAATCCTAATTGATTAAAACAGCCTTAGTTCAGCAAGATTATATGAAGAAATATGTTATTAGAGTTATTATGTATTTCGACCTTTAATGCCTAATTCTGCAAATATGTAGGTATGTGCTTAAATTTGGTTATCCATATACAGCTTTGGCCAGAAATGGGTAAATGGATGGAGTGGGCACATTTCCATTTGAGGCAAACTCTTTGTTATCAGGAATATGTGAAGTAAAGATGTTATCTTGCTGTAGTGTTACATTTGCTTTTAAGAAATACTTTAAAAAAAATGAAATCCATCTCCTGTTTCTCCTCTGTGCAGGCAGAAAAAGCTAGAAGTGGCTATGGAAGAGGAAGGCCTCGCAGACGAGGAGGTAATACTACATCTGAGTAACCTTTGAGGAGATAGCTTTGCTTTTGCCATGCTACTTAAAAATTACATTTGAGGAGCTTACAGGAACATTAGCTAGCATGAAGGTTTACTTTGTAAATGAATGTTGCCCCTGTAAATAATATATTAGGGAGGCTATGAATAAGTCTTAATGATACTTCCAGTAAATAAGACATTTCATGCCACCCATGAGACATGGCTGCATCAAGTATATAGCATGCTTTTCAAAGATTAAAATTGTTTGCCATTATATTTTGCAAGAAAAAAAGGTGAGATGTGCATGGAAGAAGTGGGTAGAAAGCAAAATGCTGAACCACTTTTCCTTGATTTAAACAATAAACTAGGCATACCCTTGCTCTGTTCTAATATGGATGAGGTGGGATCTTTGCTTGACAGCTCTCAGAACTTTGGTCAACAAGTTGCTTTTCTAGAGGTCCATCACATGGTCTGTCTCCATGGCTGCCTTCAGGATAGGGAGGGAATTAAGCAGGAACAGTGCCTCAGTCATTTCTGAGTTGTGTGGCTGCCCTAACTTCTGAGGGAAAAGCGAGTGTGGGTGCATAATGCCATCTTGTGGTTTTAAGTGACACTGTTCATCCTAGCACGAAATCTGGCAGGTGCCTGCTTGATGGATGGGTCCTATTGCCCTGAAATGTGGGATCTTCACCTGGTATGCAGAGCTAATTCACACACAGGGTCCAGTTGTGTCTTTTATTTGCAGCTTTGTGTAGAAAAAGGGAACTGAGTGGTGTTCCACTCAGCTCCGTATAAGAAGCTATGGCCTATTTATCTCATTTAGCAAACATCAAGATCTGCCTTTATTTATACTTATTGGTTAGTAACATAACCAATCTCATTGGTTAATTGTACACCCTGCTTCTGTTTAAAAGTACAGTGGCTTCTTAGATCAAGGCACATGTCCAGCAAAGAGTGGTCTTAATTGGAGAGAGAGTATTTCTTGAGTCAGTGATCTCAATCTCCTCCTGCCCTCCCCAGGTTCTACTGAGTTCTGCCAACCTCATGCCTTGTGGCAAAATGTTTCTTTTGTTATCCCTTTAGGTTCGTCTTCAGGAGATTAATGGTAATTAAAGCATGCAGGCTAGGTTTCTCTTAATTCTTGTTTTTGTAACTCTTCATGTAACTCTTCGTGTAACTGTTATATAGGCCTTTTATCAGCTTCTGGTATTCCTTAACCATTTTCCCTTTATCATTGTTAGCAGTCTCCACGATCTCCTGGGAGTCTTTGGGAGCATAAGGTTGATGTTTGTCTTCTCTGAGTAAATCCCACTGACACTTTTATGGAAGGAAATATATTACAGGATTTAGACATTTCTTTCAAATATGAGTTTGTCTGCCCTAAACCAAATTGATTTTGCTATAAATCGTGTAAGTTGGATCTTTGGCAGTTTGTTGCCTTTCATCACTCTCTTGTGGGGCGCAAGTTGCAGCTTTAATTGAGCCCTTTTATTTGGGCTTTTATCTGCCCAAAAATAGAAGTTTTGTCTCAGCTAAGTGACTTTGGGTTTTGAACTGTTGTTCTTTGTTTCAACCAGGAGGATAGTTTTAAATTATTTTTTTTATCACTATTTCTTTATATCTAAATTGTAATTAAAAAAAAAAATACATACCCCCCCAAAAAAGTGAAACTGCACATGAGACCTTGATATAAAAGTCTGTGCTTGTGGATCAAAGGTAGAAGTTCAGAGACTTCTCCTTTTACATTTTCTCTATCATTCTAATGGCAGAGAGAACACTTCACAGGAAGGGAGGTTGTGTAGCTTTGCTTTCTGCTGTAAAATTGCATAGATTTCTGTGTTTGTCTCCTTAGAAAAAACTGCGCAGGTCACAACATGCTCGCAAGGAAACAGAGTTTCTGCGACTGAAGAGGACTAGGCTTGGCTTGGATGACTTTGAATCTTTGAAAGTTATAGGAAGAGGAGCATTTGGAGAGGTTTGTGACTTTCTTGCTTGAACAGGATATTAAGATTGAATCGAACAATCAGAGCCCTGGAACAGGCTGCCCAGAGAGGCTGTGGAGTCTCCTTCACTGGAGACATTCAAAACCCACCTGGACACGTTCCTGTGTGATGTGCTCTGGGTGGCCCTGCTCTGGCAGGGGGGGTGGACTGGGGGATCTTTTGAGATCCTTTCCAACCCCTAAGATTCTGTGATTCTGTGAACACTAAAATGAAACATTTTAATTACAGGATTAAAAGTTCCAATTGGGGAGTTTTTATTGCAGAAGAATAGCTGAGTCATTTTGCAAGTGTGATAAATTGAATAACTAATTACGTGCATTGATTTCTCTGACTCTCTGGAAAGGCCCTTGGTTTCCCACAGCTTCTTACTAGCCCAAGCTGTTGGTTTCCTTGTGGCCCCCTGAAATGACAGATGTACAGTTGCACATCTGTTTGTAAACATCCTCCCTGGCTTGTGTTGCATCATGGTGGTGTCTGCTCCTGAATTTTAGCACGTGCAGCCTGACAGCTACCTGGAATTTACTGTGCCTGCTAACAACTTTTCCTAAATCAATAATGGCTTCAAAGTATCTGTTACCACTAAGTGCTAGTGCTGTACATAATGTAGAAATAACTTTTTTTTTCCATAGGTTTAAAAGTTTTAACAAAATAACTTTTCTGTGCCCAGAAATGTTGACCCTTCCAATCGATGCCTTGCTGAGGCCTAGCTTCTGAGGTAGCAAAGATTGATGTGGGCTTATATTTCTTGTTATAGGTACGTCTTGTTCAGAAGAAGGATACAGGTCATATTTATGCAATGAAGATACTAAGAAAAGCAGATATGCTGGAGAAAGAGCAGGTTTGTGTTGTATAAGTCCCCCTTAGATTTGAAAGCTGTGCTTTCTAAGAAGTCGCTGAAGTTCTTTGTGGCAGATCCTATATGGTCATACTTTTCCCTTCTATATCCTTGATGTGGAGATAGCAGTCTTACAGTACTTAACCTGTAAAACTGCATTTCAAGGAAAATGCTTCCTGAAATGCAGTTATACTGCGCCAAACTAGAAACTGAGAGTACTTGATGAATTCTGGTGATGGTTAGATACCAACAGATGTCACATTGTTAATTGGTTTTGTTTTCCTTTGTTTTGCTTTTTAGCCAGTTCTTGTTTTGTTTGGCTTTGTTGGTTTGTATTGGTTTTTGCTTTTATGTTTTAATTAAGAATCCACTACAAAATCCTGGTAGGACACAGCAAGTACTTTAGCACTGCAAAGCAAAGAAATCAAGTGTGAATGTCTCAGGCAAAAGGGCAGATAAAAGAGGACTTCCCTAACCTGTCCAAACCTTATCCATAATTTGCTCTTGTATTACATGTCCCTGCAGTGGTACTCATGCTTTTTTTTTATTGTCCTGGTGCAGACTGTCTCCTCAAGCCCCTGCCCTGAATATAGGGAACCAGAGGAGCAGCATGGATGTGTATGGCCCTCTGGTTGAAGCCCTGCCCCCATTTCATAGCCTGATGTGGCAAGAAGGCTGAGCTTGCAGTCTGTTTGTTTTGGGGCTGTAATCTTCTCTGGAGAGTGTTTATCTACTGTAATTTTAACTGTCTGGTTTGTTCAGTGGAAAGCTACACAGGACACAAGTACAAGAAAATAAAGATTGTTTTTTTTCTTTCAAGCCTGATAGCACTGGGAGATATCCTTACTGTTCTTTAAGCAAGGTTTCAATATTATATTTTGTAGCTACACTGAGCAGTGGAGGGTGGATAGAAATGTTTTCTAATGAGGATAGAGCTAGGTAAGTCAAAGCTGGAGTGCCTACTAAGGCAAGAGAACAAAAACATCTATGTAAAGATGTTCTCTGCCAGTAGAATTGGGGAAGAGATGCAAAAAGACTGCAGAGTCAGATATTTCTCATTTTTCACAAAAATGAAGGAATTGGGCTTTGCAGTATGTAATTAGTTTAAGCTCTCTGTCACTCTTGCTAGAGAAATTCAGCAGGCTTCCCTTGCCAAGTTTAAACTGAGAGACACCTGTGTAGAAGTAGCTATTAGTTTTTTTGTTTCTTTGTATACATACATGAGAGATCTGGTAACTTCTGACAATAACCACAATGTGGCTTCCATTTAACCTTTTGGTTCTTGCATTCCTTAAGACCAGCTCTGGCCCTTTCCAATCTTTTAATCAGTATTTGCACCTTGAGTTGCAGATTGAATTTTTGTCTGAGCTTGCAGTACCCTATAAAGCTCTGTGATGGGCAGCTCTGGAATTTTTGTGGACGTTCCTATTTCAATTTAGTGTATTGTTAAAAAAGTGAATTGCTCTTTTCCACCAGCTTTTTCAGTTCTTCCCAACAAACAAACAGCCTAACAAGCTGTGCTTTGTTTTTCTAGAGATTGCTTCTGCAAACTTGTGTGAACAGTTATTTTCAACATGGAATTGACTTCCATGGGGATGTTCTGCTGGGCATTTTGTGAGGGCTTTGTAGGATATAGCAAAAATAATGTGAAAAATATGAGTATGAGAAGACTATGAAAACCACTTTCTTCATTAAAGATCATGAAAATATATTGTAGGATTATCAATATAATATGGCATTCCTTGTTCAGACTTTTCAATTGTCCTTTAATAATAGTATTTTTTTTTTTAATTTAGGTGGCCCATATCCGAGCAGAAAGAGATATTTTGGTTGAAGCAGATGGAGCCTGGGTAGTGAAAATGTTTTACAGCTTTCAGGATAAAAGAAATCTTTACCTCATCATGGAATTCTTACCGGGAGGTAAGTTCTATGTTGTGGTGTTAGGTGAAATAAATACTTCTTCATTAGCTGTTGTTGTGAGCTTCACAAAATGTCAGAAACAAGCCTGCTGCATGATTTGTCCTAAATTAAAAGTTGAATGCAGTTCTAAATGAAGTCCCAGCAATGTGATCATCCCTGGTTTTTAGGGAAACAGGTTATGGAGGGGTGTTAAAATAGACTTAGATTAAATAATTATTCTGATCAAATGTTCTGCTTTTTACTGCTGAAGCATAATGTATGTATTACATGTGTTGCATGTATTTACTAGCATTAAAATTCACTGTATCTTCCTAGGCTATCCAGGGCTATTTAGGAATTTCAAGAGTCTTACTTTTTACATCCAATTTACTAAAGTATGTTGGGTATGTAGGTCCTTGCATTAATAGTTTGTTAATTAGCAGCTGTAAGGCCAGTTACAAGGTTAAATTTGGATTCTACTGGGGTTTCAGAGAATTAGTCTTATGATTAAAATGTTCTGATTTCTAAGTTGTATTTTCTGTTCTTTGATTAGGTGACATGATGACCTTACTAATGAAGAAAGACACCTTATCAGAAGAGGAGACACAATTTTACATTTCTGAAACTGTGCTGGCCATAGATGCTATTCACCAGCTGGGATTCATCCACAGAGATATTAAACCAGATAACCTTCTGCTGGATGCTAAGGCATGTCATGTGCATGTAAACTATCTGTGCTTTCAAGATACCAGTCTGCAGATAATGCCATTTATAGGGGTGCTAATTGGTGGGCCACACCAGTGATTTTTAAACTAGCTGGAGTAAAGGCAGAAAGTAGTAATTGTCTTTTTCTTGTAGAACACTAGTGTACCTAAACAAATCAAAATTGTCCCTGTTTGTTTGTTTGTGGGTTTTTTTGTTGTTGTTGGAAAGCCTTTTAACCTATTTAGGGAAAGGTTTTTATGTGAGACCACTTAAGTGTCCAAATACTCATATTCAAAGACATAAAAAACTGACAGAGTTGAAGACAAATGAAAGCACGAAACATTCAGACAATGTATGAAATATATACAAAATCAAGGTATTATCTATATTTCATATATAAAATCAATTTCTGAAGTTATCTCCTTTATTTTATTACCTGGTCACCAGTGGATACACTGTGTTTTACTATGGTAAATCACGAAATAGATCCAGTAGGCATCTTACACAAACCTGTAGACCATCTAGCATTGGTATCTGGAAACCTGATTAAAAACAGGTTACCACCAAACAACAAAGGAATTTTGTCCTGGAGGCTTTCTTAGTGGCATGTACTTGAAAATGAAAAAACAGGCAAACTGTCTGCCTTCAGCTGTTGCAGAATTGTAGATGTAGCCATTCCCAGGGGGCAATAACCTTTTTGAGAGAAAACCTGCTCTTGCAGTCCATCAAGATTCAGTCATTATTTGCCTACTTGCCCTGGATTGGGTAGTCCTGTGCATGTTTATAATGACCTGAGAAGACAAGGGTCATCACTTTCTTTTTGAGCATAACTACTGTGCTCATTATGTTTATCTTCTCTGATTTATTTTTTTTTTAGGGTCATGTAAAACTGTCTGATTTTGGGCTATGCACAGGTTTAAAGAAAGCTCACAGAACAGAGTTCTACAGGAACCTAACACACAACCCACCAAGTGACTTCTGTAAGTATAAGGTGTCCTAGTTCAGCATTTAAATAGTTCTGAGCTGCAGCCATGCCACATCATAATTTAATTCTGCTGGGTTAAACAAGATTGGCCAGGCTGATTGCATTTAGTTGGAAAACTGGAAATGCATGTTCCCATGGAAGCATTTCACAGGGAAGGAATTAGGATTTCTGCAGTGTTAATGCATTTTTGCACATTTATTTACAGACACAAATACACATAATTTAATGTATCTATATTTTAATGTTTTTTCCTTACAATGTTAGTGATGTTACAGAAACACTCTTCCAGAAAGGATGGGTTTCATGTGAAGTGAGTGACAATCTCATTAAGCTTTTCATAAGACTGAAGTTGTTCATCAACAGGCCACGTGCTCTATTCTACGAACATGTAAAATTCCTCTGCAGTTCTTAGATTCTTCACTTGTTGCTTCAAAAAACATCTGTATCTGAAGATAGATTGCCAACTGCAATAATAAGTGCTGCTGGTCTCTGATAAATCTGTAGAAGTTTTAGCAAGTTTTCATTTAGAATTGCTGCTCATGTCCTAGTTACATGAGCTTCTGCTGCAAATTGGACAGTAGTTATTATCTTCATCCCATCTCCAGTTATAACCAAGTTTTTGTTATTATTATTATTTGAAAACAGAATGTTATACATTTTCTTTTAATCCTCACAAATACATTTATTATCTAATAAACTATTTTGTAAATTAGCATTTCAGAATATGAATTCAAAGAGAAAAGCAGAAACATGGAAGAAGAACAGGCGACAGCTGGTAAGTTAATTATTTTTTTTTTACTTTTAAACTGTTTACAGAAAATGTGAAATAAAAACTGGGCATTAATGCTGCTGGATTTTAAAAACTGAAAGGCCCTAGTGCTGTACAGCTGTTGCTTTCTTTGAGCTCCCAAAATTCCAATTAACTCCAAAGAAGGTGATCTTAGTGATTCCAGTTGAGGAAGAGTGGCCATCAACTGGGTCACTTTACCTGTTTTCAGAGCTATGACTAGTAAGGCCCTGATCTTCTCTACACCTCTGTTTCCCTAATGAGCATCTAGACTAACTAACCTCAGGTGTCAGCAACAGCTTCTCAAAGCTGTATCTTGACTTTTGTCTCCTAAACTGACCTGGCATTGATACTGTGTGAGCTCCTGGGTTTAGGTCCTGCAGTTCAGTGTCACAAGCAGATGCACAGCTGCGTGAGTCTGTTTAAGAGAATTGTTTGCCCTTCTGTGGGAATATGATGGAAATGCAGTGATGATATTGGCACTGGAGTGGTGCAGCCTGGTTTTATTACAGTGAACAGTAGTTGAGTCATAAATGGCTGTCAATAATGGGATTTCAGAATTTCAGCCCTGCTTGTGATTTTCACCAAAGAACAGTTGCAAAACCTGCATTTATAGATATTGGAACTTTGTAATTTGCACTCAGTTTAAAAACTGGTATGTTGCAGTATTCCCAAAAAGTATTTGGGTTGTTTTTTCTTTCTGTCTGAGACATGATGAATTACATTGCAGCCATGCTGCCTCGTGGGGGCTGTATTTCACACCCTTACTCCCTCTTGGGTTGGATCTCTGAAAAGCCTCTATCTCCCAAGTCACTGAAGACCTCTGTGGCTGAAGAGTGTAGTAAAGCCAGATAAATGGTGAGACAGTCCAACAGAGAAAATAAAAGGCCAAAATGATAACTTGTATCAACACTATTCTTGGAGCCATATTCTTGGTTTTCAGTTGGTTCAAAACTAAATGTCTTGGCTCTGTTGAAAAAAAATTATGTATTTTGTTTCTGCAGAGACAAAGTGGTTTTTTCCTGGAAAAACTGTTTTGGTGGATTTTCTTTGTTTAGTTGTTTTCCTATCCCTTCCCCCCAGGCCCATGGGAAATTTTCCATCAGTAAAGAGAAATTCCCCAATAGCTCAAGATCTCTAGTTTGCACGTTGAAAAGGTTAAAGGGATGGAGCCTGGTCCAGTAAGAGTTCAAATTAATTTTGCAATAAGACATAGTAATACATGGAACAGCTGGTGCATCATGAGTGTCACACATGGGAATCTACTACTGGTTATCTCTTTTAAAAACAAAACCAACCAACCAAAAACCCCCACAACTAATAACAAGAAAAAAAACACCAAAAAGAAGCAGCCTCTCCCCCCCATGCAACCATAGAACTTCTAGGGTATTTTAGCAATGCAGCTATCTGAAATTTTAGCTAAGATGATTCTCTAATATTGCAGTGGGAATATTCTATGATTTCATCACATTTAGGGGGATGATTTCCATTTACTTTCAAGATTCTCTGTCCTTATGTAAAAGAATAATACTACTTGGATTTTAGATATTGTGAATCTCAAATTAATCATTCTTGTCCATCCAAGTAACAAGATGCTATATGTGAATCCCAAGGAAAAGGTTTTGCAAAGTATAAAAGTGTTGGGATTTCTTTAAAGAGGTTTTTGTTTTGTTTTGTTTTTTTTCTCAGGCATATTCTACTGTTGGAACCCCAGATTATATTGCACCAGAAGTATTTATGCAGACTGGGTACAACAAGCTGTGTGACTGGTGGTCCTTAGGAGTGATTATGTATGAAATGCTAATAGGTATGTCAAAGACCAACCTAAGAATCATTCATGGGGTCCAAAGGTAACAGGATCCATTAGTTAACAGAGTCTGATCTCCTGCAGAGTGTAGGTACTGGAATTTCATTCAGTTCTTTCTGAAGTAAGCTCCAAATTCACCTTCCAGAAAACTTTGAAGTCCTTTTACCTTTCCAAGAAGACAGCAAGAGATGATGCCTCAGTTAGTTGTTTGGTGAATAACTGTTCACTATTAAATGTTTCTGAGGATCAGTTTTAATACCTGGAAGTGACAAAATAATGTCTATTATTGCATTACAAAAGAGAACTTTTTGGCTAGCACTACTTGTTAGACTTGGGAGCTGTGGTGGCAAAAACAGGGGCCCAGGTCTCACTTTCCTCTTCTGGGAAAACCTTGTTAATTTTTCTATTGGCTTGTACAGGGTATCCACCTTTCTGCTCAGAAACACCACAAGAAACTTATAGGAAAGTTATGAACTGGAAAGAAACGTTGGTATTTCCTCCAGAGGTGCCCATTTCAGAGAAAGCGAAGGACTTGATTCTAAGGTCAGTAACAAAAGCTCACTTCTGGCTACTCACCCAGACCTGGTCATCTTCCATTAGGTTAACTTTCCATTCTGCATGATGGAAGCTTTAGCTTGGAGGGAACCAGAGCAGACAAAAAAAAAGTTTCCACACAGTTTTTTTTTTTCTCAGAGGCATCTAAAAATAACTGCTCACCAGCATTTCATGCACTGAGCAAAAATCTTTGGTTCTGGATTTACTCACTTCTTCCAAAACACCAATTTTTGATCCATTTGGTTTCCGTTTAAATTTTTGCAATGGGTTTTGGTGTCAAGGTCAGACAGACATGTTTTGGTAGGGATGGCTTTTTGGCTTTGATTTTTTTCAAATATATGATTATAAGCTTACATAATTTTGTTACAGGCAAAAAGGGCAGAGCCAAGTTCTAGAGTTATTAATCCAAGTAGTGTTCCAGTAGCATACAACAAACATAACCTACAACAAACAGCAAACAGTTATTCTTAATCCAGTTACAGTTAAACTAACACAATTCAAATTATTTAACTATTACTAATATTCATTAATAAATTTGAGTAGAATGGGTTTATTACATTTTGAATATCTGTTTCTCTAGTGCTTTGCTTAACCTTTCCTGTACATTGTTGGCATCTTGAGTTCTTTGCTGGGAAGAATACAGTGTTGCTGCTAAGGGTTTCTTCCTCCTCAGTCTGGGCTGTGTTTGGAGCCTTTTCAGATATTTGAGCTATTTATTTTTTAACATGTCTTGTTGATTGGCTCATGAATTCCGTTATAAAATGGATACCTGAAATTATTACATTTTCCTATAAATTAAAGAGTTTAAATTGGAGTAAAACATCTTTAGTTACAAACAATTTACTAAAATGAGGTCAAAACAGTCAAACCTGGCCATTGGGTATTTAATCCAGCTTGGATGGGTTAGACAACTGTTATTGCAGCCTTAAGGAAGTTGCAGAAAATGTTAGTTGTTATTTTTATGGATATGAACAAAACCAAACTAAAATAACCTCAAGTTCAGACAAAGCCTGGAAATCTGGAAACCTGGTCTGACCAACTGTCACAGAGTGGCCAGGGTTGGAAGGGACCTGTGAAGATCATCTAGTCCAACCCCCCTGCCAGAGCAGGATCACCCAGAGCACATCACACAGGAACGTGTCCAGGCGGGTTTTGAATGTCTCCAGTGAAGGAGACTCCACAACCACTCTGGGCAGCCTGTTCCAGTGCTCTGTCACTCTCATTGTAAATAATTTTTTCCTTATGTTTAACTTGAACCTGGCACAAGCTGGAGCGCAACCATTGCCCCTTGTCCTGTCACTGGACACTGCAGAAAAGAGACTGGCCCCATCCTCCTGATATCTGCCCTTCAGATACTTATAGGCATTGATGAGATCCCCCTCAGTCTCCTCCAGGGTGAACAGACCCTAGCTCTTTCAGCCTTTCCTCATAGGGCAGATGTTCCATTCCTCTAACCATCTTTGTGGCCCTGTGCTGGACTCTCTCCAGTGGTTCCTTATCATTTATGAACTGGGGAGCCCAGAATTGTATGCAACCAACAGGCTGGGCTGCAGTAGAAATACAAACAGTTGTGTTTTTTTCCCAAGTGACACTCAGCTGCAAGTAAAAGAACATTGCAGTCTATAATTGGAGACAGTTTATAGCCTAACTTGCTATGTTACTAAATTACCTGCTGAAAATTTCCCTAATCAGTGATAAGGTGACCTTTTTTGTATTGCCTTGTATTGATGTGAAAAGTGGCTTGTGAAGTTGGATGATATAATTATGTGGAGAGGCCATGAGTTAAGGATAACTCAACAACCAAAGGCTTTGCTCATCTGTGCAAACAATTTCATTTAGCAAAGGCCAGATGACTTGTAGAGCAACAGGAGGCCCACATCCAGAGGCTACCAAGTGCTCCCCACTTCCAGGAGGTCACCAGGTGACTCCATGCTGGGCAAGACCAAGCTGTTCATTTGTCATGGATGTTTTTCCTGTTACTGTAAATCTCCCTCTTTGTGTCACTTTTGACACCTTTTGCCATCCTCAGACTGCAAGGACAGTGTAAAAATATAAAGCAATTGTTTGCTAACACATATACAAAAGATAGCTTGGATTCAATTTTAACACCTAGGCTAAGCATTGGTAGACTCACCATCTCCTTGATGAGATACTTAAGAGTCTTTTCCAGCCAGCTAGAAGTTGGTCCAGGCAGGTGTCAGTCCAGAAGAGTCAGTTTCTACTGCTCCCTGGAACAAAGCCCTGATGGTACTGAGTTGTTGTCAGAGAGCTTCTACTTCCCTATTTTTTTTTCTTTAGGATTTCATACTTGGTGGTGTTTTTCCTTCTGCTTACCTGAGCAGGTAACAAGTACCATCTCAACAATCCTATCTCTGTCTCCAGTTTAACTTTTTTCTTAATTGACTCTTAAGAACTTTCTTACAGCTGTTTCTCATAAGTTGACAAATTCTTCTGGAGTCTGAGCTGAGGTTATGTAGCTGGGATGTATCAGAAATGGGCTTTGAGTCTTTGTATGACCAACACCTGGACCTCTAAGGAGAGGGAAGGTGTGACAAGGAAAATCAAGTTGTAGCATGTTTTAAATGTCTGTTGGCACAAAATCTGACATCAAAGAGTAGTCCTATTTCACTAAGTGTATCTGTTCCTTTTAGTTTTACTTTGAAACATGGATTTTAAACAGTTGACAACATCCAGAGGAGTTTTTCAGTGGTAGAGACTTAACCCTTCATTCCAAGCTAATCTTAGAGCTAGAACTTTCAGCAACTTTTCACAAACCTTAAAGACACCTTTAGAAAAGGTGTCAGTTACTGTCATGGCTTTTTGTTTTGGGACTCTAATGTTAAATTTTCTACTTCTACTATTTCCTTTCCCTCTTAGAAGCAATAGGAAAGAAAGAACTTGCTCAAGTTCCTGATACAGGATACCACAGCAGTTTTCTTCTGTGTGAATTTATTGTAACATTCTCTTTATTTTTTCCACTTTTTCAGGTTTTGTATTGACTCAGAAAATAGAATTGGTAGTAATGGAGTAGAGGAAATCAAAAGTCATCCGTTTTTTGAAGGAGTGGACTGGGGACATATCAGGTATATATATATGTATATATGCACACATAATAAAAGCCATGAAAACAAGAATTTAATGCACTGTTATGTCAAGGATAATTATTTCCAATTTATTTTATTTTGAAAGGCAGCTACTGGCAGTGGGTGGGGGACAGTGAAGGTTCTTAGGCCTTGCTGCCGATTCATAGATCTGATCAGAGTTTAACTGTCTTGAGATGCCTCAGATTGACCCAATATGCCCAGGATTGAAAACAATTGTGGTAGGGTGGCTGTGTTATTCCTGATGTATCCTTTGGTATCAGTAGAGAGCTCCTGTTCCAGTAGTAATGGGCTCTGCAGCTATTGCTATAATTGACTTATTTGAAGTAGGAGCGCAAGAAAAACACGCTCTGTTCCAAAAATGCAGGGGAAATAGATGAAGAGGAGAGATAGCAAGTAGGAGGAAAACACAGGGCATGTCTTTACTGCACACTGCAGGTACTGCACCTGAAGGAACCGGTATGTCTGCATAGTGCTGGGCAGGGGCACTGACTCACCTCAGCTTTGCAGCCTCTGTGGCCAAATTCTGTTGGGCCAAGCCTGGGGAGAGGGCCTGGCCAAGGCAGCTGTACCAGTTCCAGTCTTAAGTTTGTTCCTGCAGATGCTGAGCTTACATCTGCATGTACCCAAAGTGGTAACACCTTTTACAGCAGACTTTGGCTACTGTTCAGCTCTCTTCAAGGTCTGAGGTAGTCTGATCTTTCTATAATACTGCAGTTTCTACATGAAAATTCATATTGTGGATGTGTGATTGTCCAGCCTTTTGTATTTCTTACTTCCTCTGGAGCAGAAAGCCTCATTTAACTTTTCAGTGTGGGAGACCTTAATAAGCAACAAGAGCAACCACATTTGGCAACCTGGCCAAACGGTCTTCCTGTTCCACCCAGGAATTACAACTTGACAAGTGTATATGAATAACTTTCCCACAGTGCTGTGTTCCAGTTTGAATGCTTTCGTGGGACAGATCACTTAAGCAACTTCAGAGGCCACCTTAAAATTTCAAGGGCTGTTTAATTGCTGAGCTAATACAGCAGTAACATGTCAGAACCAACTTACTTTGAGAGATACTGGTGGCTGAGCATCAGAAACAGGAGCTGCAGTCTAAAGGTATTTGGATGAGGTGTTGTAAAGCAACACATGGCTCCAAATGCAAGTAAAATCCTGCTCAGCTGGGTAGGCTGGGTTTATGAAACGAAGGTGGTAACCACAGTGGTTCTTGGTGACAGCCAAGATGGTAGCAATAGATCTGGCAGGTAAGTGTGGAATCCTGTTTCAGTTAATGGGAAAACGTTTACCCCAAGTTTGCCAAGAAGATACTAATGCTAGATAGGAAACAAGTAAATCTCCCTGTGATGTCAGCAAACAGGCAAGTTGGACACATCTCCTATGGATTCAGTGGAACCTTTGTGCTTTAAAGGGATGTTGTAACTGTAAAAAGCTAAGTTAAACAAAACTGGAATTGAATGTATCTTTTCCAAGAATTCAGTATTTTGGCATTTGTTTCTATTTGCAGGGAAAGACCAGCTGCAATCCCCATAGAAATCAAAAGTATTGATGATACTTCTAACTTTGATGAATTTCCTGAATCTGATATTTTACAGCCAGGTGAGATTGCCATTGTAAATTCCAAATTTCTCTCCATGATATGTCAGAACACCCCACAAGTGCTTTTCTTGCTTTTATTCATTATTCTGATACCTTAATCAAGGTAACAGACTTCATCTAAGACTTTCTTTTAAATATAAGTGTGAAACTATGACCTCTAATAGCTTCTACTTAGAACTTGGGAGGGGAGAAAAAAGCTCACAGATTTTAACAGTTAAATCTGCTATGGCATATATAATAAGCACAGAACAGTGCAGTTGTCTATCACACAGCCTGTCTAACCAAATTCTGTTAAAACTTAATGCACTCATTTGCTGATGATCTTGAATGACTTTTGAGCTTCACAACAAGCATAACAGATTATTATTTCACACAAAGATTTGTGAACCTGCATGGCTATGCAAAGAATTTTAAGTTTTTTTCATTCATTTCTATTAGCAATGAGTAGGAAATTTTTATACATAAAAGGCTGGATTCTCTAATACAGCAAATTCTCCCAGCTCCCACTCTTTTCAATTAATTATTAAGATCTTAAAGATAGGCAGATATATAAGGATGATTAATTGATGACAGATCAGTGTAGGTGTGCTAACAACCATAAGAATTAACAAAAAACAGTTTTTTTCTTATATGGCTTTTATTTAATGGCAAGGAAGCTTGTCCCTTTAATTCAAAAGCAATCAATCTCCACTGCCTAAGTTAAGCTGTTTAAGTCCATATTTGGCTAATGCCAAGTATATTTGTATTGGTTTTGGCATTTCAGACCCACTGAAAATGTTACTATATATCTAGATACCTTAACAAAAACTTTGATATCCATCTCTCTGGCATCTTGAGTTCAAATATTGTCACAGAACTCTAAAAGCAGCAACCAGGGAGCTCAATATAAAAGCCCATTGTAGCAAATGTCCCTGTGCAGCTCACCAGCCATGTGGGCTGTTCATAAAGTAAGAGGAGGCTGTACAAGCCCCACAGAAGCTGTAAGCAAGGATGAAGCCCTAGGAAAGTAGTATGTGTGTCATGTGTAGTTCTCTTGGGAGAACTTGGATATATCATCTTCTGTTTGTGGTGAGGATAACGTGATATCTATACATGCATTTGCTGTGCGTGGAGCAACCTAAATGGTAGGGGGTTTGTAATTGTATGTCCTGTGGGTGTGTTAAAGGTTCCTGTCAAGGTGTAGGAGCTTGTTATGGTGTGTAGATGTACTAAAAAAACCAAAACCTAAACATACAAATCCCTTTTTCCAATTCAGAGAGAGATGCTGAAATTGTAACTCTTTTCAGATCATTGACAAAAGGCAACAGCCATGATTAGAAACAGAATTTCTTCATGGAGTTTCTGCTGATTTAAGGAAAAAAACAGTTCAGGGTTGTCAATGTCAGTGCTCTGTGAAAAGCAGTGCTAGTTTTAATTCTGTTTTGGTTTTGTTTCTGAATTCTAGTGCCAAACACAACGGAACCTGACTACAAATCCAAAGACTGGGTTTTCCTCAATTATACCTACAAGAGGTTTGAAGGGCTCACACAGCGTGGCTCGATCCCTTCCTACATGAAAGCTGGGAAGTTGTGAAACAAAACACAGACCCACAAAAGAAAAATATAAACCTCAGGTAGCTGCATCACCAGACCCGCTTGGCATTAGTTTATCAATACATTGACTCTGGTGCGCATCAATTTCACAAGGAAATTCTACAGGATTAGGATTTCTGAGACTACTACAGGAATTAGTTGGCAGTGCCAGCTGGCTTTTTTTTTTTTTTTTAATATTTGAATATTTTTGTTAACTTTATTATACGAAGGTACTGGAATAAAAGGAACGTACATCCCTTTGTAAACTGCACTGCCTATGTGTGTATAACGGTTAATTATGCCTCTCTGTACTGTGGCTGTGTTTGTACTGTAAACCATCTAATCCACCCAGGAGTAAAGCATATCATTTTCTGGAGCATTGCTATTATGCTGCTTACCTGGTGGGGTTTAGATATGCAGTATAAAAAAAAAATTCCCACATTTGCAAAAATCTGAGTAATTGCTCAAGGGTGTTTCAGTTGTGGTCTGCAGGATACCCTGTGAGTATGGCAACACTGAATTATTTTAAATAGCAGTGTCCTGTGGGCCTATTTGTGTCCTGTCTGCCCTTGCTCCTCCCTACTGGAGGGCTTTGCCAGCCCATTGTTCCCTGCTTCTTCATTTTCCACTGTGTGTGGCAGTGGAACAGTCTCTGTGACAGGTTTAGTGGTATTTCTACTTAAAATGCTAGTTGATGGCTATGACTGTCTAAGATGACTATGCCTGTTGGCCACTTATGAAGATAAAAGGAAGCCGAATAAAACTTAAAAAGATTTTTAACAGAAGGGAAACTTGCTGGTACCAAGTTCCAAGGAGATGAAATGTTGTTTCCAGGACAGCATTTCTTCCTTTGCTGTAAGGCAGATCATCTTTTTGCTACTTATCATTCAAATGGCCTTTTCTGTCTGTGCAAAACGTATTCTAGTAAAGTGACCAAACTGCTGCTTTTTCTCTTTTTGTCTCTCTAAGAAGTTCCAAGCTAGAGCCTTTCCTGTCCAGAACACCCTGTAGCTGCCTTTGTCAAGCCAGAGGAAATGGAGTGTTCCACTAGACTCAGGCTTTTGTGTGGGCTCCATCTTCTAGTTTCTCCATCTAATGGGACCATGGGATTAAAACAGTTCAGCTGAGCCTGCAGCTCAGTTTCCAGGAACCCTGAACCAACCACAGCTGAAGTGAGCACGCAATCTAAATACTGTTCTCACTACCCTGCAGGATAGTGGCAAACTGACAGAAGATATGGGTCTCCTTCTCCTAGGTCAAGGAAACTGAAGCAGAAATCAGGATAGTGGCAAACTGACAGAAGATATGGGCAAGGAAACTGAAGCAGAAAGCCTTCCATCTGCAGGGTATGTTTTTTCTTCTCAGCCCAGCAGAAGTTCAGGACAGAATTGCACTCCTAGAACAGTTTGGAATTACCTGGCCGTTGGCAAATTTTTCTGTATCTCTGCCTGTACCAGCATATTATCTGCAGTACTTTGAATCTATCATAATACAGTAGAGATCTTCAGTGTCATTTTCTGGTTACAAATGAGATTTATAGCAATGAAAAATTCCCCAGTAATTGAAGAAGCATCCTTTGAATGCAAGTGAAAGGCACTCTGAAGCCTCTGCAGTGCCCATAGGAGTGAAGCACAGGATGTTATGGTACACAGCAGGAAAGACTCCATTAAGACTGACTTTTGCAGCAAAATCGAAGTGACTGTTTACAGAGCTGTTTACAGAAATATTTATTGCTGTTAGGCACCATGGTATCAGCTGTTCAGCATTATCTACATGCTTTAAAAACACACACATTGGGGTGTTCATGTGTGACCAGCAAGCCCATCAGTGGCTTACTGACATGCATATAGTCTTCTCCAATCCAACAGCTACTAGGTTCCTCAAGGGCTTCAGTGATGTCTTTCCTCCAAGATCTTGTTTCTCTTCAAACGTCTAATACTTTTTATTTTTAATGCATATCTACAAAAAGCTTTAGTCTTTAGCTCATCACAGAGGAGCAGCCACTGCCTCAGGGTCCATCCAGTTTACAGTGTTATATCAGAACATGGCTAAACTAAACTTTTGTCTAAATGCTGAATTTATGTGGGAACGGCTCATTAATCTCCAGTTTTTCTTCCCAGGCCTTACACTAATTAACACCTCTTTATTGCTGTGGGGGCAAGATGCCTCAGAAATTCCCCAGTGTTGTTCTTAGCCTTGTCAATGTAATGAAGCTCAGCCTCTATCCATACAAAGACTGTCCAAAACAGTAAGTCACTTAAATCCACCTTTAAAATTTCAGGCTTCATTCTGCCAGTGCCCTTAGCAGCTTTTGAGGCTTTTCTCAGGAAAGCAAATTTCTTTTCTAAGGTATTCAGTCTATTCTACCCAGACAGAGGAGCTTGGGCAGAAAATGTCTGAGATGCAAACTTGCCCTCAAAGGACACTGCTATTTAAAAGAGAATTGTTAACAGTTTTCATTTCCAGTCTCCTTCATGGGGCACTATGTGCACCAGAAATGGAATTCTGCAAACAAGGCATTTCAAAAGACCCTATTTCCCTAATAAGAAGTCTTTGCTTGAATTTGCTAAGACAAGAGAAGTTTCATGGAAACCGCAAATGCTCAGTAATACTGGTGATTTATTCTTTTATTTCTGCAGGTTTTGGGGGAGGGGAGATAAATGCATACTTAATTTAAAGCTATCTATTAAACAACTGTCTGTACATACTGGTTTACAAACTTCAAAAAAAGCTCAACCCTTATATTTGTAACACTAAAGATAATACTCATTTCAAATTGTGGATGATTAATCATATCAGTGCTCACATAGGAATTCTATCCATAGGGAAACAACCTGCAGCCTATTTATCATAAACTCCTGTATTGTGGTAGTTGATTATTTTATTTTTTTTAACATAGCATTCTTTTAATCAGTAAGTCAAGTTACACGAAGTATTAGCTACTGCTTTTAGGATGATAGAATTTTTTTAAGGTGAAACTGTGACACTAATGGATTAAAGAGAACAGAAGGTTAATCGACACTGGCTTTCAAAAAATGGAAGTGCAACATATCTTTTGTTATTTTTGTCTTTGGATGGTTGTGTTTTTTCCTTTGGCAATGTTTGTCACTGTGCCATTTATTTTTCTTATTCTTGGAGTACCAAAGATTCTGAAATGGCTTGATGATTGCAACCATGTGAAAATTTATTTTCTGAAAGTATGTTTTGTTAACTTTTGTTAAAATGTGGAACTGTGTATGCAAATTCTTATCAGAGTTTTGCTGGGAAGTTAACCCATTCCAGCAGGGAAAAAACCTGAGTGCATCGATGGAAATGGTGGGCCTGAATCGAAATTCTGGATCTGAATACCCTGAAGCTGGGGGGAGGAAGCTTGGATTGGGAAATGCAGCTGAGCTTTTTTTGCACTTTGTTCCATCTCCCATCAGTGTGAGTGAGTGGCCTTAGGTACAGGACATCAGCAGAGGTGGTTTCATGTGCAAAAGGAGTGGAAAGAATTGCCAGCATTCAGAAAACAAATATTGTTGATACTGCGTTTGCACTGTTCAATTTGCCTTGCTGGAGAGTTATATAAGTGTTATTTTTATAGGTCAATTGTTGAACACCAGAGCCACTGGATACAGTATGGAATAATAGCATCTGACGTGGGTGAATTCACCTAAGTGCAAAGGGGCTTGCTGGAAGCTCTCCACACTACTAAGACAAATGGGCATAAGCAGTACAAAAGGTGTTGTCTGCTCCTTGGAAAGAGGTGACTTTCCTCCTCTGCAACAGCAAGTAGGGAATACTGCAGTTTAGCCCAGTGATACTCTTAATGCTTAGGAAGTGCTCTCACTTTTTCAATAATATGAGCAATTACAAGCATTGTTACATACTGTACCTTGTCCTTTTAATGTTGATATATTACAGCAGCTCGTTCTTGGAGTCAAAATAGCAAATGCTATATTTTTCTTAGATTGTTTCATTAGTTGTGGTTGGGAAAGTTACATAGAAGCATTATAAAAATTTATATGAGGCTTTTTACAGCATTTGAAAATAAAAGTAGCATTCCTTTTGTAAATTTGCTGGGTTGTTTTTTATTTTTTTATTCCAGTGTTCTGGTTTTGCTTCTTTTCTGGAATGGGAGACATCCAAGGAATCAAGACACTATTCTCAGCTTGAATTCCATAGACAGTGGAAACCCCAGTGTCACTACCCAATCAGAAAATAGAGATCTCAAAAAATTGTTCAACTTTACCAACTGAAGTCATGTGAAGCTGCTTCTAAAAAAGTTGCTGCTCTTCACAAGAGATGACTTTTCTTCCCTGTAGGCCATAATTTATACAAGGAAGTGTATTATGTGCAGTTGTGTCCTTCAATTCACTATAGGAACAATTTTGTGCTCCTGTTCCCCATTCCTTGCTGAGTTCAGCACAGTGGCAGCAGATGCAGTTTTGAAATAATCATGTGAAAAAAATTATTAGAGTTGAGCAGCTGAAAGCAAAGAGGAGCTAGCATCTGGAATCTGGCCTTCTCTGGAGCCCTCCAGTGAATAACAGCCTTCTGCTTGAACTGCAGCTCAGTGAATGATATAATTTCAACAGAATGTTACAAATTTTATTAAATGGGATTACATTTTTCTTCCAGTAACTGGATATTGTATCTCAGAGCTAGATATGCAGGCTCAATTCTTTATCTCATTGCATTATCAAATTCAGTATTCTTCAAAAATACAGCACTTTAATGGCAAATATAAAGGCTATGCCTTCAGCTTGTGCAGAAATGTGGGGATTTTAAAATATTAGTTTAATATTTGAGACATGCTGCAAATATATGTTGTACATTTTTCACTTCTTTACTCTTGTAGAAAATGTGCCTTGCACATAAGCAAAACAGTTTTGCTTTGGACAATAAAATGTCTTTTCTGACAATCTTCCCATGGAAGGAGAAGGGAGGAGTATTCATAAATGGTTTGTCTGTCTCGCTGTTGGGGACTGATGACCCTGCAAGTTGTCAAGGCCAGGC